CCCGGTTAACAATCCCGATTTTCACTGATCGCTGCTAGTTTATGAAACTAAATCACAAACTTTTTACCATTATGACACGCTCAAAGGTGCTAATTATTACTATGTTAAGCCCTTAGTTAGTGAATTATGCCAACAAATTCAGCAAACTAACAATATTAAATTAACGGACTACTTAATTCCCCAACACCATATTCAACAAAAGAATACTTGCGATTGTGGCATAGCAGTCATTGCCCTAATCCAAAAAATTAGTGAACAATATTCCACCTTATCACCTCAGCAATATGTTGGCAATTTAAGTCTTGGTCAGCTTGATTTTGCCCAACAACGACAAGAATTAAGGACTGAATATTTAACAGAAAATGGAACCAATTAGCAAAAAAACCATCCCTCTAATCAGGAGGACAGTCCAAGCGTTCCACACTTTTTAATCAGAAAAAGAAAAATCTAAGGAAAAATATATCGACATAATTAATCAATTATTTAGGAGGAATTTCGATTTTAGCTTCTTGTTTTTCTCTTATTTGAACAGATTTACTCTTGCAATCTTTAGTAGTCACCAGTTTAAGTTTGGAATCACTAAATATTTTTGATAATGGCATGACGTAGACAGTAATTTTTTCTCCATCATCATCACCGGCCGCGATAATACCAAGTGCTTGAACAGTAGTACCACTAGTTCTAACAAAAATAGGTGCACCACTACTTCCAGGACCAAAAGCTTCTTTCTTAAAAGATTTTTTCTCAATATCTATAACATAAAGTCCTTTTTTTATTGAAAGCTCATTTGTTCCTGGATTTTTTCCCCATATTTGCATATCACGATTTATAATCTTTCCGCAAGCTAATCCAATTTCTTCCACAAAACCACACGCTTCAGTTCCTATTTCAGGAGTAACAACTGATGTTATTGCTAAATATTCTGTTGTATCTCACCACCATCAGTGATGAACAGGAACAGCAATGCATGGCCATGGATCAACAAGCGAAAAGAAACCAGTGTCTATAAAAGCATAATCATTACCATCTTTATCTCCATACTTCGCCATGTCATTATATCCTATGTCTTTGTCTCCTACAAAAACATTAACCCCTGTCTCTAACTTACCATTATTACTATTGATAAAACAATGAGCTGCTGTCAATATGCCGGGAGAGTCATAAATAAACCCTTTTTTTTTTACTGCAAAACCAGTAATACATCTACTACTACCCTCCTTTATAGGAGTTCAAATTCCTATTTTTGTTCCAGCATAAACATCAGTATAGAATATATTATTAATACTAATACCATTATTATTTCATTCAACATATTCTATTTCAATTTCATTTTTTTCTTCTTCGGGAGTGTGAGTAAGCAATTTAGTATCTCCTGAATTTAATACTTTATCTATCGGCAGATAATAAAGAAATTTGTGGTTAGGATCATCATTATTAGTAGCCACAATGTGACCTAAAGCTTGGGCAGTTGTTGTTCCACTATTATTGCTTTGTGCATAAACTGGTCCGCCAAGGTCTTCTTGACTTACCATTCCTTCGGTTCCTAAATCAACTTTATTGACATTTAAAGCCGTAGGTCTACTATTAATTCAGGGATTAGGAACTGTTATATATAAATCAAGTTCGGTGAGGTTACCGCACAAATAACCACTTCCTTGACCAAAAGCACAAACTTTCAGTCCAGGTTCAGTGGGAGTAAAATCAGAAGTCACGGGGTAAAGTTCAGTTATTGTCCCATGATTAATGTTATCATGAGCAGTTAACCCAGCCGTATAATTAAAAGGACTCCAATCAACCGAATCCAAGGAAACAAAAGCATAATCTAAGCCACTAGCACCGCCGAATTGAGCATCATGAACTTGACCTATTTTGGTTAAATTGCCATCATCTTCGTTTTCATAAGCACTATCAAAAATATTGCCATTTAAGCAATTGTTATTTACACAACATTGAGCCGAAGTTAGTAAACCATTAACTCCTTGTTTATTGACTAAAAAACTAGCGGTGCAATTTTTTTGGTTTTCAAAATTTATTCAGTAGCCCGCAAACATTTCTCTTAATTCTGGGGATGTTCCGCCTTGAGAATAGGCAGTGTTAAGTATCGATAATAAGTATAAAGGTGAAATAATATGTATTTTTTTCATTTTCATAGTAGTATTTATATGTTATATGTATTTGTAATATTTGTTTGTTCTAAACTATTTTTTTGGTGGCACTTCAACTTGGGCTTGAAATTCTTTAACATTTGTTGTGTTATCAGAAGTTAGTAAAGTATACGTACAATCATCATTTCCGAATATTGCTGCCAAGGATATTCCAAGTGGCGTATAGTAAACTAATTTATGATTAGGATCACTATTATCAAATCAGGTCATGTGACCAAGAGCATTAACAGCAGTTTTTTTTCCTTGTTGGCTAGGTACATAATACACTGGACCGCCTAAATCTCCTTCGCTTTCAAAACCATTGGTTCCTAAATCAACTTTGTTCAAGGCTTTAAAGGTTATGGTGGAACCATTAACTCAAGGACTGGGAATGGTTAATTCTAAATCATTACCGACAAGATTTCCACAATGATAACCACTACTAGACCCGTAAGCACAGATGATTCCTGGTTGAGAAGGGTAAGTTCCTATCACAGAATAAAGTTCACTTACCGTTTTATCATTATTAGTTAACCCACTAGTAT